GAAGAAGGCATTTATGGTTGAAAAACTTGAGAGAATGGTACAATTGCACCAATTACCAACTGTTTAGATCTGCAGCATCAAAAATACGCATAGCTTTGATGATAGCCAAACTTCGGAACGAAGACGTCACTTGAAGAAGAATCTTATATTAAAAATAAAGAATTTGATAGATCCCAAATCTGTAAACACGCATGGGATAATGAACATAGGGTTCAATGGAATAATTCAAATGTAGTCCTAAAAGAACCGGATGGTAAAAAAAAGAAAAATTAAAGAAGCGGCTCTAATTATGCTAAATGGGGCCAATTGTGTCGCAAATTCCTCGGCAGAATGTAGTAGGATCTGGTAACCAATATTGAAAGAGGAAGTTATTAATAAGAAAATACCAGTATTAGTAAGTCAGTAACATATAGAGGATATATCATTTATGTTTTTTAAATAACGTAACATATAAAATCAGAATTTTGATGTTTGTTGAAGGTAAACTAAATTCACGAACAAATACTTACAATGTCGGGATAGTATTATGAGGTTTTTTTCCTGGTTTTCCCTCATAATTTACTATGGAATCACTAACAGGAGAATTTTACTGTCATCATGTCATGTGTTTGTATTTTTAAAGACGAATTACATGCTATGATTTTTTTCTCTGACGGATATTCTCAAGTTAAAGTTGATTTCATGTAATCGAATGAACTATCTTATAAGTAAAATCGTCCCAGGAGCGCAACTCAACAATATTGGCAAAATATTATTTTAAAGTCGTCTACTTTAAAATGCATAATGTATGTCTGAATTGTCAATATAAATGAGTCAGATAAAATTAAATTATTAGAAGAATTTTTCACTATGTAACAAAAAACAAAATTTGTTTAATTTACTGTTTGTATTTTGAGAACGATTTCCGAAGTGGAAATTGAAACGTCAATAAACGTATTTTTATCTTTAATTGTAGCTTATTCCCAGTTTAATAGTAATTAAATTACATGACCATGTCCCAACCATCAAATAAAAATATTTTTGTTCATTTCATATAATAGTTAATACAATAAAACTTTCACACCATTTAGTCTGTTACCATCTATTCAGACATTTATGTTCATGAACTTATAACTTAAAAGTTCCACATTTACCAGGTACCAAATGTTGTTTTTTGTCATACAGGGCCTCTATAATTGAGTTATAAGTTAAATACTATGTGAACATTATACTAAAAAAGTTTTATTTTATTCATCCAAGAACACTTTCAATTTTAAATAAACACATTCATATCTAACCATTATCAATAAAATTTCTAGAACTCAACCTCCCACATGTGTCTTGTTTCTATTTTCTGGGTACCAAATGTTTGAGAAACATAAAGGGCCTTATACTTAAAACTTTTTTTACTACACACAGGTATAGTTAGTTGCCTACCTACAACCACATAATTTTTCTTTCCAAATTCCATCTCATATACATAAATTTAAAATAACAACATTGATGGTTGATACTGTTATATTAATTTATTTTATTTTCACAATTTCAAATAACGGTGGCTTTTGTCTTAAGTAGAAACATAAAGTTATATTGACTGCTTTGTTACAACTTCCGTCATAACTAAACAACATTGTCATTAATGTCCTTGCCATTCAGTTGCTCCCATACAGTCTTCGTAGACACACTGTCTCAAGACTAGCAACTTCAACGTGGAGTCATATGTCGCCATGTTACCTAATCCAACGGTATCTTTAACATCTTAAACCATTATAGGAAAATTTGTAAACTAAATGTAATTAATTATTTGTTAACGGGTTTTTACCCATATATTTAGTGGCTACATTCATGTACTCTTAGTAAGTATTACCCACACTTTGTATTAACCTTCAAAATTTTAAACCTACGTTCTTTTTAATTAAGTGGGTAAATATTTTCTAGGACACTGACAATGGAATATGGATTCCGAAAACGTTTTGCCTTTTTAACTTAGCCCGTTTGGGTTTTTAATATATACCTTTTACAAAGGATTTTTAATAAATATTTAAGTTTGTACACACCACTGTGTAAGTGTTTTTTATTTTGGCTCTTGTTGTTTTAGATATATTTGCCTAATCTAGGTTGTTATTTATTCGGAAAGCTGGTGTTATTCCTTTCTTTTTTATGTGTTTGGCTATTTTTGTTGTAATTTTGCTGTATGTGTAATCGAATAGAAGGTACTGGGTTTCTTCCCTGGTGGTGGAAATACTAACTTCAGGGCTTTCTTGTGTAGTTTTTGATTTAACATTTTATTAATTGTTTGTTCATTGTATTCGTTGTTTACTGTTATTTGCTTAATTATATTTAATTCTGTCTCAAAGTTGTATTTTGACATCGGATTTCTGTTAATCTATGTAACATTCTATGATAGGCTGCCAGTTTATGTTGTGTTGGATGGGATGATGAGTTGTGTATAGTCGTGTCAGTATGGGTAGGTTTGTGAAATATGGAGAAGTCATGTTTGTTTTTAAATCTGATAACTTTTAAATCTAAAACATTTATATATTGATTTTGTTCTGTTTATATTGTAAATTCAATATGATTATGAAGTGATTGACCAACTTGGGACAAACAGTTCTCCCCTCCTCAACCTATTTCTTTAGGGACTATACAGTGTAAACGCATCCCAAAAATAGATTACTTGAGAAAGGCAATTAGCCGAAACAGCTGTAGTGATAAGAGTTAAAATAAATTTGTGTGGAAGTTTGAAAACAAAGCTTTCAGTGTTTTATTGTTACATAATATGAATTAATTCGTCAATAAAAATTGTTAACATTTTTTTATAAAATATTCGATTTGTAAGTAAATAAATTTTACATATTGCTTATAACATTGCAATAGATAGTGTCTAAGAGAGTGAAGTAAGAAGTTAAGAGGAAGTAATATTAAAAATTGAACAAATCAAGACAAGAGTACCTACAATAAATCTACTGACATATCATAACTTTTTTTTAATATATATTTTGTTTGTATAGTTCTTCTTCATTAATTTGATTGTATTACCTGAACCTATTTATTTTATAAATTGAAAGGATGGTATATATTCGTAGACACACTTTAACATCTGCTTATTAAAAATAAACAGTTGTATTTAAATTGACAGGTAAAGGACAATTTATTTGCAAACTCTTATCAGTCTGTAAGGCTATTAGCAATAAAAGAAAAAATATTAACAGCCATAAAATAGTACAACAATCAAATTTTGTATAAATCGTTTATTGCTTTTAGATATTTAATAATCACTTTGACACCACACTTTAATAATAGTTCGTTCAAATTCTCCAGGATTCCAGATTCACCTCTTTCTTTACTATGTAACGGGCACTACACTCAAAGACGTTTTATTGTTAGCGGGGTTTCGCGAGCATAACATTTTAGTTGGAGATCTCTTGTCATCAGATGTCCATGAGTAAGGCGACTATAACCAAACTGCAGTGGCGTCATGAACAACTAATAATAACGATTGGTGGAACTATCAGACCATGGTTGAAATGTTGGTTTTATCTGAAGTATTTTTGCCTGTTTTTTGTGCCATTGGCTATTTTATGTATTTTAACTATTTTGTTGTAGAATTATGATTTAAGTTCTCTTGCTGATGACTTGAGCCAAGATATGTAAGCTGTCAACACATTTAAAAATATGACTTACAAATGATGTTTTCTGTTCCTCATTTGCTATAGAATTCAATGTAAACAACATGTATTTGATTTTGTCTTCGCTGATGACTAGACAAACCTGTTTCGCCGCCGTTTTCAATTTTAGGAAATATTGCTCAACATCTCGCTTGCTACGGCCTATTATATTATTAAATAGGAGGCAAGCCAGGGCATCCCCTTGTCTGAGCCCATCCTTCTCATCCATCTCAAATAACCGAGAATTTTCTTCCCGTATCGTAACACTGGTCTTTAAGTTAGACACTGTCATTCTCGTTAAAAGTTTTCCATTAATTGGTATAGTACTGTTCTCTTGACACTGTCATATGCGGTCTTGAAGGCGACGAATAGGTGGTGGGTTTCAATGTTACATTCTAATGTTTTCTTGAGGATCTGTCTTATTGAATGTACCGTATTTTTGGTAAACCATCTAGCAGACAAATATGAACGAAAAGTCTTAGATGAAGCAACTATTGAGTTCTATCCCAAAACTCTAGCCACAAAACATCTTCTATGTTGTTAAAGAAGTAGTTGACAAGAAACCAAGGATATTGTTGCAAAATTTGATCATAATGGTTTCCTCATAGATGAGGTCTCCCGCTTACAATCCACCAAGAAGAGAAGTCTTACCAACAAATTAAACCGTTTGATTTTGCAAAAATAACAGAAAAGCACCTCAACACTTCTGCATAAGTTTTCAGATCACAAATTCCATCCTAGAGTCTTAAATCTAAGGAACACTAACTTTTCAGAGGATGAAATTAATTTTTTAGGAATGGATGAATTGATGAAGGTTTTACAAGTGAGCCGACGCGTGTTAAGGAAATGAAAATAAATATTGAAAAAAAAGGACTATATCAAAGAAATATACATATTAGAAAAAATGTATGCTATATATGTAAATTTATTGTCTTGAGTTATTCCATTTCGAGTATGACTTCCACTCAACTTATTAGTTCAATCTCTTAGACACTTACTTGTCACGGTGTTATTCATATTTAATCAATATTAATTTATTATGAAAATTAGCGATAACATTTTTTATATACATGATGTCATAATAATGATATAAGCAATATCCGAAATTTATTTACTTAGAATTCGAATATTTTATAAAAAAATGTTAACAATTTTTATCAACTGATATTATTAAATTATTTCCTACTTCCACAAAAATATCTATAATCTGATATTAAATATACGTATTGTTCCAACAAGAATTTATCTTAAATAAATAATTAAATTCGCAGATAAAATACATTTTTTCAGTATATATAGGTATATAACATTAACCGAATAGTATAGTTGTGTTTAAAAGAAGATTGTAACAACATGTCCGACATAATCATCAAAGACTTACCGGCTCTTCTAAGTTCCAAATTAGGAACGAAGAAAATAAAAGATACCAAATTGTCGAACTTAACAGCGAAGGGTGAAAATTTTGGAAGTGAAATGATCAAACTAGATGTTACAACAGTCGATGAAAACGGCAAAGAAGAGACTTTACATGGTGTTGCTAAAACTTTACCAAAACATGAGATGATGAGGCAAGTATTCAAAGTCCAGATTACATATACAAATGAAATGGCCTTTTACGATTTAATAATTCCAACATTACAAGATTTTCAAAGAGAACTAGGAGTTAAGAAGGTAATTGACTGGTTTCCCGAATGCTATGCCACTAGGAAGAACTTAAACGGATCTGATATTATTGATGACAATGCCGTTATTGTTTTGGAAAATTTACAAATATCAGGTATGTTAGATACACAAATTTTATCTCTTATTATTTGACTTTCTCCAGTTATTCTATTTTCTATACATTAGGTCAAACGATTATTTTCTTTATGGCTACAATAACATTATAAGAGTATTTTTTTCTATTTGGTTAAAAATGTGAGCAGCATTGGAAATTTTACATAGTAAAACATTGAATATGGTTTAATATTCTTAACCACTGTTCTAACTGTGTTGTATGTAGGATTCAGACATAATAATTAATAACCTGTACTTCTCATATATAGATATATTATAATTACAGAAATAGCAACATTTTTTGGCTATACCAATCCTAAATTCGTTCTGTTGTTTCTTCACTTAGCTGCATAGGTGAACCTACACAGTGTCAATTGTTTAGCATAATTTTAGTCCTCGTTATAATTTACAATTAGGCCAGAGTAATAAACAAAAAAGTACTGTGTTTGTGACACTGAACCGGTTATTCAAATAACAGTTGTTTTGAATAGAGTAGTCCTCTGTAACAAAAACCATATTTTCTGCAGTCGATTTTTTTGGACTTAATTAGTTATTAACAGATTGAGTTTAAAAAACTGTACATTATTAATCTATTAGCATAAAGTGTAGCATTTGAAACAAATTTAGAGGTGATAAACTTCAAAATGGTGGTATTAAGTTGTTTTTCTTCTTATTTTCAAATTAATTTAAGTCAGAAAATTATGAAGTTACAGTAATACTACAAATGGATTATGAAAGAAGAAGGATCATTATATCAAAATTATTAAAAAAAATAAAGAAAAATGGTTTTAAATATTGCAAAATCATTTTACAAAAACCTATCAATGTTTTGCTTATAAACAATTACAATAACTGTTTAACTGTTGGTTGCAGGAAACTTATTTATTCATATTTGAAAAGCATGCATCTTTCTACAAATTTAGAAAAGAAATGTTGTCTTAGAATAATCTGAGACAAAGTTAGTTTTTTTTAAGTAAAAAATAATAATAAATAAAAAAAATAGTGCTAATGTAATCGTCCAAAAAACTACAAAACTCGCGGGGCCGTGAAGGGTGAAGGGGCTGCTGACTGTATCTGTTTTTTGATTGTGGATTCCTTAGGTTTCTTTTTTAATTCGTATGTAATTTTTGCGTAGATTACAAATTTATATTATTTAAATAAAGAAATTGTTAAATAAACCATATAATCGGTTTAAAACAACTTTTTTCAATTTTTATATTTTTTAGTATTATTTAAGGTAATTTTTGTTTGAAAACCATAACTATTTATTTACAAACTTCTTCAATAGACGTCATAAATAGTTAATTTATAATATTATATTTTATGAAAATAGCAAATTATCCTATTCAATTATGTCTCAAAATAGTATTGGTTTATGTACTTCTTTGAAAATAAATAATCTTAAATAAAGACATTATTTCCTACTATATATGCTAGAACTTTTTGAAAAGTTCACCGAAATTTTTATGGCCACCTATTTATTGGCTTTTTCACTTCGAAATCAGTTTTTTTATTATATTTTTTTATTTTAACATAAAAGTTATTATCGTTATTTTAATGTAAAACGTTTACTTTATCCGTAAATTACAAAGAAACAACTAAAATAGCTGACAAAAGCTAATTTTAGCGTTTTTAGAGGCCATAAGCAGTTTAGAAATGCGCAATTTAATTTAAAATTAAAATAGACTTGAGCATTTTTGCATTAAAATAGACTTGGTTATCAACCTTTTAAAAAATGGCCCCCCAAAACGTTAAAAGTGGTTTTTTTCGGCATTTTCGGCAAGTTTAAATTAATTTATACGTAAGTCATAATTTATTTACATATTTATTGCATATTGCAATAAATATTACTGCAATATGCATGTTCATTAAGGATATTAATTCCACTGTTTTACCTAGATGGTGTATACTTAGTTGACGGTTTCATTATTTTTCGCATTACTGTGATTGTTTCTTTCCTTCTAATGGTTTATTTTAATTATTTAAAGATTATGATAAAAATAAGTAGCGTATTATCTTCGTTAACATTTTATTTTAATTTAGATATAAACCAAGATATCAAGGATCCAAGTTTTTGAAAAGTACAATTATCATATTTAATTATGGGTCATTTTCACATATACCCTTCTATGTGCAATACGTATTAAAAGTCTACTATTTTAGGTTTCCAAAATATCGACCGATATATAGGATTTGATTTAGAAACAACAAAACTGGTGTTACGAGATCTAGCTAGTTTCCACGCCGTACCTCTAGCACTCAGATTGAAAAAACCAGAAGTATTTGAGAAAGTGATTAAGCCGTACTGCGTACCTTTTGAGCCTATGGACGGAACTAGTTTCTTGCCCGTTTTACAAGGAATCATCGAAGAAAATAAAGAAATAGCCCATCTGGCTTCAAAGATAACCGGATGGAAGAGAGCAGACTTGCCAGTTAGCGATTTGTTTGCCACCATTATGCACACAGATATGTGGACAAATAATACTATGCAAAAATTTGAGAATGGTAGGGCAGTTAACAACAAATTAGTTGACTTTCAAGCTTATTCCTACGGATCACCAGCAACCGACGTATTTTTCTTCTTGTGGTCTTCATTGCCTCAGGAACTCTTAGAAACAAACTTAGATTTACTCCTAAGCTATTATTACGAACAATTTGTGAATGTACTTAAAGAACATAAAGTTGACATCAGTCCATACACATATGAAAAATTTCTCCAAGAGATAGATAAAGTGGGAGATAGCGAATTTCAGCATGCATATTTTTTCCACAATTTTGTTGTCTATGGTAAAAAAAATGCAGAAATGGGGCATCCTCCTCCAAAGATTGTAGTATCACACGTACTTAAAATGATTCCACTTAAGGCCAAACAAAAATCGTATTATATGATTCAAGAATGTGTCAAAAGAGGATGGCTGAAATAAACAAATAATATTAATTTTTTAGTTTAATTAATATGCATTTATAAATATATATCTTGAAGTTTACTGTTTTCTTTTTTTTTCTAGGTAGGTTTCTAGTATCTTGTATTTATTATCTTAAGTATTAAAAATTAGGTAACCATATTTTAAAAATGATAAATATATTCTTTCGATAACGATTTTGTTATAATAATAAATCTTATCAATTTAGATGTCAATTGTAGTTCATCAGAATGAATCTTAAATTTCTTATGAAGAGAATTGTCTAAAAAACAGCAAGTTATTTTAGGTTAAAAACTTGTACGCTCATGAATATAATAATTATACTTCTAATTGAGTTTCCACTATTGGTTCGTAAATAAAGTATACATGATGTATATTGAAGGGCAACAAATAGTGAAAATACATTTTTTTTATTTTTAATTAGAAAAAAGTAAAAAACAAAAAGAAAAAAAAATTAAAAAGTGTTTTTCAGGAAAACAATACAGTATTAAAAATAGATACATAGATGTAGATAAGATTTCTCCATTTGCTAGAGATTTCTCATTGATATGCCAAATCATGATTTTGTTCAAATTTACCGTTGTCAAGCGTTATCTTTGTCTTCAAAAATATATTTGTAAGACAAGACAGATCTTTTCACATCAACAGATATAATTCGACAGTCGTGGAAGATTGGTTCCAAATGTGAATTGAATAAAACCATCTAAAATGTAGGAAGATGGACAATGAATTAGGATGGTGATCTAACTACCATTTAGAGCGCAATAAGTAATGTAATAAATTACAATTCGAAGGACCATCCACTAACGGGAACTTATTGACTAATTTTATTACTATAACTATCTTAAGATGTGGTCAAAATTTTTTCGCAGAGTTTTTATATTTAAATCGCCAATTTATGTGTACCAAGTAAGTATTTAGTCATGCTTTAAATTAGGAGGGAATACTTATTTTAGTAACTAGACTAGTTAATTTAGAACTGTAACAATTTATTTTTGGAAAAAGTCAAGTTTTTTTAATTTCATGGAAAAGAAAGCAATCAAACAGTAATACATAAATTATTAATAGTTAAAAGTCAATCAAGTAAAGAAGAAAGAATATTTTACTCAACTATAAATGTTAATAAGAAGAAAAATAATTTAAAATGGTGTAAGCTACTAATTAAAACATTGTGGTCTATTTTGGAAAGTGATTTCCTAAAAAGAAGGATAACCAGAGAATGATAATGGAGACAATGAGTGGCAATTAAAACCTTTATTTTTGAAAGCAATTACATTTAGGCATTAAGTGACAGAAAGGTACCAAATTATATTAGTACAGTTTAATTATTGTAATGAGAACTTCCGTTTACAGATAGATTGTTTAAAATTTATATTTAAATATTGTCTGAATTAGATATATAAGTGTGATAATTATAATAAAGATCATTTTAAAAGTGCTTACAAACTAATTCTTCGGGAACCGCGACAAAAACCCTATATATGTTATTTAAAAATATGCCATTGTTCATAATACAATACAAACAAAATATCATAGCAATATATGCTGCAAACTCTTATTAAACTGACAAAATTAACCTTATTTTTTAACCTCGACCATGCAACCCCCAAATTCAGTCGCTCATTATTTCGCTAATGACGTTTCACTCAAAACATACTTCTCATCTTTTATACTCATTAACCCTGCAACCTTTATAATGAAACCCACGTGAAAACATCAGACATGAATTTAGTTTAAAAGGGAGGTTATTGGAAAATACTTTTACACAATTATTACGAAATATGTATTTGGTACATATTTGCATAAATTGCGTTACTTGTCGGTGTTCTGTTAGTAGTTTTTTATCTGCTAATACATAGTGCTTCTCTTCACATTAACTGCACTATATTCGGGTTTTTACTATTATTTTTCTTCTTCTTCCTTTGCCCTATCCGTTTCGGACGTTGGCTATTAACAAGGCTATTTTTACTTTGTTCACGGCACCTCTGAACAGTTCGGTCGATGTTAGTCTGAACTATTGTCGCAGGTTATGCATCCATAAGTGTCGTCTTCTTCCCGGTCCCCTCCTACTGTCGATTCTTCCTTGGACTATTAACTGTAGCAGCCGGTAGTTAGTATGCCTCATGACATGTCCGAAGTACTCAAGCTTCCGTTTCTTTACGGTGAAGATTATTTCTTTGCTTTTGCCTATTCTCTGCATTACTTCCACGTTAGTGATGTGGTCTGTCCAGAATATCCGAAGAATACGGCGATATATTCACAGCTCAAAGGATTCTAGTTTCTTCAGGGTGGCTTCCCTTGTGGTCCATGCCTCTGCTCCATAGAACAAGACCGGGAAGACATAACACTTGACCAGTCTTAATTTTAGTTTCATTGAGATTTTGCTTGTGAACCACTTTTTCATATTGTTGAACGCGTTTCGCACTTTAATATAATATAATATGATATAGAGAATATAATAGAATAGGATAGAATAGAATAGAATAGAATAGAATAGAATAGAATAGAATAGAATAGAATAGAATAGAATAGAATAGAATAGAATAGAATAGAATAGAATAGAATAGAATAGAATAGAATAGAGTAGAATAGAATAGAATAGAATAGAATAGAATACAATAGAATAGAATACAAAAGAATAGAATAGAATAGAATAGAATAGAATAGAATAGAATAGAATAGAATAGAATAGAATAGAATAGAATAGAATAGAATAGAATACAATAGAATACAATAGAATACAATAGAATAGAATACAAAAGAATAGAATAGAATAGAATAGAATAGAATAGAATAGAATAGAATAGAATAGAATAGAATAGAATAGAATAGAATAGAATAGAATAGAATAGAATAGAATAGAATAGAATAGAATAGAATAGAATAGAATAGAATAGAATAGAATAGAATAGAATAGAATAGAATAGAATAGAATAGAATAGAATAGAATAGAATAGAATAGAATAGAATAGAATAGAATAGAATAGAATAGAATAGAATAGAATAGAATAGAATAGAATAGAATAGAATAGAATAGAATAGAACGGAGTAGAATAGAATAGAATAGAATAGAATAGAATAGAATAGAATAGAACAAAATAGAATAGAATAGAATAGAATAGAATAGAATAGAATATAATATAATAGAATAGAATAGAATAGAATAGAATAGAATAGAATAGAATAGAATAGAATAGAATAGAATAGAATAGAATAGAATAGAATAGAATAGAATAGAATAGAATAGAACGGAGTAGAATAGAATAGAATAGAATAGAATAAAATGGAATAGAATAGAATAGAATGGAATAGAATAGAATAGAATAGAATAGAATAGAATAGAATAGAATAGAATAGAATAGAATAGAATAGAATAGAATAGAATAGAATAGAATAGAATAGAATAGAATAGAATAGAATAGAATAGAATAGAATAGAATAGAATAGAATAGAATAGAATAGAATAGAATAGAATAGAATAGAATAGAATAGAATAGAATAGAATAGAATAGAATAGAATAGAATAGAATAGAATAGAATAGAATAGAATAGAATAGAATAGAATAGAATAGAATAGAATAGAATAGAATAGAATAGAATAGAATAGAATAGAATAGAATAGAATAGAATAGAATAGAATAGAATAGAATAGAATAGAATAGAATAGAATAAAATAGAATAGAATAGAATAGAATAGAATAGAATAGAATAGAATAGAATAGAATAGAATAGAATAGAATAGAATAGAATAGAATAGAATAGAATAGAATAGAATAGAATAGAATAGAATAGAATAGAACAGAATAGAATAGAATAGAATAGAATAGAATAGAATAGAATAGAATAGAATAGAATAGAATAGAACGGAGTAGAATAGAATAGAATAGAATAGAATAGAATGGAATAGAATAGAATAGAATAGAATAGAATAGAATAGAATAGAATAGAATAGAATAGAATAGAATAGAATAGAATAGAATAGAATAGAATAGAATAGAATAGAATAGAATAGAATAGAATAGAATAGAATAGAATAGAATAGAATAGAATATAATATAATATAATATAATATAATATAATATAATATAATATAATAGAATAGAATAGAATAGAATAGAATAGAATAGAATAGAATAGAATAGAATAGAATAGAATAGAATAGAATAAAACAGAATAGAATAGAATAGAATAGAATAGAATAGAATAGAATAGAATAGAATAGAATAGAATAGAATAGAATAGAATAGAATAGAATAGAATAGAATAGAATAGAATAGAATAGAATATAATAGAATAGAATAGAATAGAATATAATAGAATAGAATAGAATAGAATAGAATAGAATAGAATAGAATAGAATAGAATAGAATAGAATAGAATAGAATAGAATAGAATAGAATAGAATAGAATAGAATAGAATAGAATAGAATAGAAGAGAATAGAATAGAATAGAATAGAATAGAATAGAATAGAATAGAATAGAATAGAATAGAATAGAATAGAATAGAATAGAATATGTTTGATTATATTTGACTATTATTTTATTATATACATTTTAAGGAATTTCCAGACTTTTTATTAGTGACCATATTATGTCTCTATCTTTCCATAAGCTCTGCATTACTATTCGTTCTCTTGGTTTTTAAGAGATTTTTTTATTCTTAGAATATTTCATTTTCTTGTTATTTTTCGTCTTTATCTTTGAATTTTTGTTTCTGTTGGTGTCGTTGATATAGTTATTTCCGTATGTTTATGTCTTGTACGCTGGTTTTCGAGTGACAGAAATCCATGGATATCCATAAAAAATACGGATAGCCATTAAAAAAATCCTGGATGAAATGGCATAAGTGATTGAGAGGATAATAAGTTTGCATTGATAAAACATAAATAAATATTTATTGATATAGATAATTGATATTTTATAATACTATTTTCGAGTCAAAGAGAAAAAATTTCTTAAAGTTTAAATTAGATGATATCTAAATGAGCCCAGTATATTT